CCAATCTCATAAGAATGTGGGAAAATGTGAGCTTCTTGCACCTCCTTTGTTCTCTGTTACTGATTTCTGTCATGTACTTATGCTATTTTAAGTTCAGGAATCGTTGGGAACTCAGGGACCATCAGATCAGATTGCATATAGGGATATTTATATTTCCACAAATCTCTGACATCAGCTTCTATCAACATGAAAGGCATTATAATTCTCCTTCTGTAATAAACCAAACGTATACAGGTGACAGCCTCTATTTTGTGGTTATGTCTTGTAATTAACTGTGGTAAATTTTTCAAAGTCAATGTTGGATTATGGGTAAGGCAGTAACTTGTCTATATCCAAACTTCACAGAATATTGCTGCTTAATAAACTGTGGCCTAGTTTCAAAATTATTAACATGAATAGTTGTTTAGCAGTAAGAATTCTAGTAAAGCCATTTAAGGAAAGAGCAAGTAAGAGTCCAGAAAAGAGTACACTTTTTTTCTTGGCCAATCTAAACATATCTAAGCCTCTTTTACTCCAGGGGAACAATTTTTCCTGTGCCATCACTAGGGCTCTTTTGCTTGATTTGGCTTGTACCTTTGGCATACATAACAATCCTTGACAGTTTCCTCCATATCTCTGTTCAGTTGAGCCAATACAAAGCATCTCTGGTTCTCCTCTTAGGTTTTTCAATCCTTAAATGACCTGTATAGTCTTTTTTTTTTTAATAGAAGTTATTGCAAGAATCACATTTTTTCTGTCTTTAAACCAAAATTCAGACCTCTAGGTCTGAAAGTCCCTCTTCAACTGATCAGAAGGGCCACCCTCTGCTAACTGTTGTTATTTTTTGAAAGTCTTACCCTTAGCTAGTACTCATCCTTTTTATTCATACTCTGTGGAGGCAACTGATGTTTTAAGACTCTTACAAACTTGTGTAACTTTCAGGACTGAGAGGTATGGGCTAAGAATCACTAGGGCTGTGTCTAGAGGACCATACCTAGGACTGCATCCTAGATGGAGGTGCGGGTTCCACCTGTGTCAGGGTAATGAAGGCGCATAGGATTCCCAGTTTACATTGAAGTGAGCGCTGAAAACAGGGGCTAAGTCGGAGTCCCACGCTGTTACGTGGACATCTGGTGGTCTTGAGGTACATTGCTGCCCATCCAGAAGGTAATTTGGACAGAGCTTAGATGTCTTCCTTTCTTAGCCATGTAAGTTTTAAAACCTGCAGAATAAGCAGCAGACCTGAACCAGCCAAAGTGTGAATGATTTAGAAAGCTTATTTCTGCTGTCTTTGCTCTGTATAGTCTCTCATTTATACTGATTTGTCATTCACTCTGGCAGATTTGTTCCCATCCTTTTATTTTTCCACCTAGCTAGTTCCTCTCAGAACTCCATTGAAAAGGTTTAAGCAATAAATAAAGCCAATAATAATAATAATAGCAGCACTAATGTTTGCTGCTATCACATTGTTTGCTCAGTTTGTATGTTTTTCTTTTCCTCTACCCTTTGACTTTTGTGTATATTTATTTTCTAAGTTCTTTGGCCCTGAGACTTTTTCTGAGTATATGCTTGTACTGTCTGGGCCTAACACAGTGGATGTTATTCTGTGTTGCCCTGTACCTGCTGCATAACAAATATAACAATAATTACGGAGAATTGCACTTTTGTTAGTGGTTCTAGTGGCACATTGTGAGCTTCTACTAGGTCTGCATATATGCATAAATATATGCATACCAAGATCACAGTCTTGGGGAGAAAGAACACAGTGAGAGCTGATTGTGATCCTTGGGGGAAAGCAGCTCACAGGGATGTGTTCGACACCAGACATTTGTTTATTTTGTATGGGTTCCTGTGTCTTCTGGATACACATAGTTACACTTAGGACTATCACTAACACATTTCCTATTTAAGTACAGCTGCAAATTTACTTTGGCCTTGAATGACAGAGTGCACAACAGGAGTTCATGTTTAACTCTATTGATGTCTGCATCCTTCTTTGAAAATTAGTCCAAGATGTAGACTGTTTTTAAAATATCGTAGTCTCATGCTACATGTATTATATGGCACATTGTGTCTTGTTTTATAGTGAATAATTTGCCATAATGAAGAGAGTACTCTTCATAGAAGGTATTCTGAAAGTTAGTTCATGCTGCCTGTTTAATGTATTCTGCTTATCACATACTAATAAAGACAGAGGAAGAAAATAGATTCAGCCTTTGAAGGACTTCCAAGCTTTACATTGTACCATCACAGTTGTTAGTAATGATTTCATATGGTTTCTACATTGTTCTTTTAAGTTAGGTGACTTTTTTCTCCAACAGTTAAATGTGATGGTATTCTGGCATATTTTTGAGTTAGAATCACAGACTCGTAGAATAATGTAAATTGAAAGGGGCCTCCAGATGTCATTTGATACAACTCTTCACCTGAAGCACAATCAGCTTAAATCAGGTTGCTCAAGATCTTGTCTACTTGAGTTTTAAAAGTCTCCAGGTCTCTACCGAACAAAGACATGTACTTAACCTTTTATTTGGACTTGCTGCATAGTTTGTCCTTTGCTTTTGCTGCTGCTGCTGTTAGGGGCAGAGATATGGCTTTGACCGAGAATAATATTTCAGGGTTGTTCACACCCTATGTGCTGGAGCAAAGATATCTTCCACAGGATAAGTAGACCCTGGCAAGCTAGAACGCTCTCTCATCTCAAATGCTTTTATCAATCAAGGCTATTTTGATTGAGACATTACTCTTTATTTCATCTTGTAAGGGAGACAGCCACAGTCCTTGTTGTTGAGTGGCAGTTTTGGATGAGAGAGGCTACTCTCTAATGGCACAGCATAATCTATCAGACTTGAGATGTTCAAAGTGCATCCAAAAAGATAGGGATGACAACATTTGAAATTCTTTGTGCTGTCATGCAGCAGCAACACGCCATCTTCAGTGCCTTCCTGCCATGGACAAGAGGTGACCTGGTGGGCAGTCTGATCCTGAGCCAATTTGGAGAGAGAAAGTTTCCTGCAGGTAACTTAGATGAAAGTTAAGCGAGGCTGTTCTGCTGACTGTCCGTTTCCATGCATTGCTGTGTGCCTGACCTCTCTGAAGTAGTAATGATATTTTCACAGTGTATGTGTGAGACACTAAAGGGATAGATTCCCCCCAGAGTTCCCAGTGCTTGGGACCTATAACTGTCAATCAGTAGAGGTATCACTCTTAATCCTGCAGAGCCTTGCTCATCAGTGGGGAGATTCATGAACACCATGATCATGTGCCTTTCCTCTTCTGTCTCCTGGGACCCTCACCACAATAAGGTTACCAGCATCTAGAGACTCACAGGAGCTACCACAGTGGGATTTGGCACAGCTGGGTCCTGGTGTGGCCAGAGATCCTGAGACACAGACCTATCTCGTGAGCTCTGGCACCTCTCTGTAGGGCTTGGCTTGAGCATGGGTGTATTGGATGGTTGCCTCTGTAGAAATTGTAACATATATTCTGGAAATACTGAAACTTCTGAATTCCAGCTTCTTTCTTTGGCTTCAGATGGTGTTATCTGGATTTGAACTGGTAAAATTATGAACATTAATCCCCTCTTTAGAAGTGCCCTAGTTGGCACATCTTTAAATGCCGTTTAGCACCATTGCCATTCAGCAGACACAAACACAACAGCTGCCTCAATCTGACACAGGAATGTAGTACGTTACCAAGGTTGAAGGATATTGTTTTGCAACAAAGTGTATAGCGTAAGAATAGGGAAGGGCACACAAGGCCATGAAGCCTGCAGGCTGAAGAAGCCAGATCTGCCAGTGTTTGTTTTTATACTGTATATATAGGAATGAAATCCTGGTATGCACTGTTTTCCCGTTCACACTTGCAATTTTTTTGACAGGGGAACTACTTAGGCTCCCCCTTCCTGCTCCCCCAAACTAGAGCTTGAGTGCTAAATAACATGTATGTAGTCAGGATGATCAAAGGACTGAGACTTGAGTCCTAGGTGTGAAACGTGGGCTATAAAAACATGACAGTGTAGATGTAACAGTATAGAGAATTCTGCAATGGCCAGGGCTACGCAATACTAGGTGCTCTTCAAACAAATACAGAAAACACAGTCCCTGTCCAAAAAAGATCTAAGACAAGCGCTGACAGAGGCATATGAAAAGATGTGGAAATAAAAGGGAACAAGTATTATCAAACATAACAGACATTGAAGCTATCTCCCTTACTATGTAAGAGACTCAGGAGAATTTTGCAGTAATGGATTCATAGACCAATACACACAGTGTGTGTTGTGTAAGAAAGACAGCTGTAGAGAAACAGTTTTGAAAGATGATGACAAGTGAGCATTTCAAGCTGCTATTGGTGCAGAAGCACTGGGCAATAAAGTAAAAATGTTGAGAGCTCGTCTGTTGGGGCATCATCTGTCCTGGCAGAGAAAGAGCGCTACTGCACATGAAAAAGTAGTAACATATATCAGTAATAAATACGAGACAGAGGAAATAAATAGGGAAGGAGAGAGTTGTGAAGGGCCATGGAAACAAAAGTTTGTGTTTATGTCATTAAAAAGGAAGAGAAAGGGGCTTGGAGAAGACATGACCTGGAAGCTGCTGATTGCTTATCATCCAAGAAACACTGATTCCTGATTTCAAGCAGTTAATTTCAACCTTATGTGACTATCAGCCCGGGAAAGCCCACTTCCCTTTATGAGAGTTACAAACTTAGTGAATTACAGTCAAAACCCAACATCAAATACCAAAAGGGTTAACTTATCTACTTAAACCAACAAATTAATCATCCTACAAGAGGCTCTTTCAACTACTATTTTTTTGGAAAGACTCCCAGTAACATTAATGACACAAAGCTCTTTCAACTAGTCTCTTTTGGAATGTCTCCCTACAATATTAATGCCATTCCTTCAACTCATTCACCATTTCACCATCTTAGTAATTACATATTCATTTTCCTATATATTGAACTACTGTTCTTTGTAATAAAGTAACATTTTAGGCAATTAAACAGCATTTTGGTCTAAATATATTCAATGTTAATATGCAGGGTTTATAGCTAAACACAGAGAGAACTGAAATAGTAAAAACAATCCACTAAACTGGGAACAGTGTAATTTGCAGATGCAGTATATTTTTAATTAGCAACTCTATTACAGGTAAATTCACGAGTGCAGAAAATAATTGAAAGAAGACTTGTTTTATTATTTTCCCAGTAGATTTATCAAACTAATTGACCTAATAAAGTGGTCTGACTTTGTGTGGCTACATTGAGAAGAAAGAGTCATGAAAAGACAGTATATCTTTTAACCCCTTTTAAAGTCCCTGAAATACTAGCACTATTATGAGTTATATTTATTCTTTGATGTACCTTTGAATGCAACAGTAACACTGAGTCTTTTGGAATAGCTCATCCAAGCAGAGAGTTGGATCTGAGGGTTACTATGGACAACAGTAACTTGCCTCATTACACACTGTCTGTCTAAATTATACCTACTGAGAACAGAGAAAGGATTTTCTGTTTGTCTATTTAAACGGCACTTAAGGACTTTAATGAAATATCACCACCTGACTCAGACCAGGTTTTTCCCAATCTTTTTTGTTTTTTTGAGGCTAGAAATGCTGGATGCTTGGAAATCTGAAACAAATGTGAAGGAAGCCACATGGATGTCAGAAACGTATCCAGTCTGTGTTCCACATGTTTTTTGTAGCCTCATCTGTTTCATCCTTCTTACTCACACATTTGCTGACCTCTAGAAAAAAGAAAGGGAATAAAGAATTGCTTGTTGTGTATCCTGCTCTGAAATATTAACAATAGCCTCAGGTAGCTCCTAAATGGAAATGAGGAGAGAAACATATTTTCTGTCAACTTTCTGAACTGACACAGAGTTCTCATATTGCAAACAAAGGGATGCCAGCTTTGTGATAAGAACTTACTTGAATGCAAACATTTCTGTAGACACATGCTGTCACTGACACTTGGTTTCCTTATCATGCCACAATGCTAGTTCTTTCTGTTCAGCTTGTCCACCATCTTCTTTCATTCTTCACCTGAGCATGTTTCCTATAAGGGTAGCGAATCGAAGGAAGAAGGCCCCATGGCTTTGTTCAGATAAGATTAATTCTCCTGCCACTCCTGGCCTACTGGGAAGACATGGCCTACATGGATATCATGGATAAGATCAGTAACAGAGTCTTTTTCTTGCTACTGAGAGGGGTCTTAAAGGCCTTGTGAAGATGCTCTTACTTTCTCTGTTCCCTTACAGAACTTCAGCTGAAGGACGCTTCTTCTGTCTCTCCCAGGCTCTTACACAGACACACACAGACACACAGACACACACTTTGTTTTCTGCAACCTTTTTCAGCCTGTTCCTTACTCTTTCAATCCACTTTCATTACCCCACAGTGAGCCCTGAGCTCCCTTGAACCAGGTGACTTCTTCATTTTCCTCACTTTGATTGAACCTCCCCTTTATTCCTCAAATTGAATTTCAAGCAACACGTCTTCTGGGATGACAGTGCGCTTGCCATGCATAGATATGCTCCATCTCATGTCTCCAGGAGGTTAGCTGAAAGTATTTGACAGTGTTCACAAGGAAGGTTAATAAGGCCAAACTGCAGGTTCACATTCCTACGTTGAACGCAAAAATCACTTAAGATAGTGGTCTCTTGGACAAAAGATCACTGTCATAAGTCTTTCTCCCTTCTTAACCAGACCTGGAGGCACTTCTGGCAAGATATCCGCATCCTGAGGTTCTTTGAGAAAATGCTTTTCCCAATTACTTTCACTGCTAGCTTAAAACTTTGTCACCCTGGGTGAATCCTGACTGAGCCTAGAAGTTTTTAAATATTGAAATCCTGGCACTGATACTACACTCTGGAGAATCCATCTCTCCTTCATGCCTAAGAACTATAACGATGGCACTCTTCAGCTGTTCTTTTGTTATATATCTATCCTAGAGAACACTACCACAGCATCCTGTTTCACCTTCAGAGGCTTCCTTTTGACGTGTTTATATTCTAGATGTTGGCAGAGAAGTCATCTGCAAGTTTGTGTACAACTTCACCAAACTCTGTGTCCTTTTGGAAGTTTCTAGAGTAGCCATTTAATGTAGCAAAGCAATTTCCTGCTCACACAGACCTCAGACACACCCTGAAGCATTGAGATCACCTGTAGTGGAATGAGTAAATGCTCGGAGATAGGACTTACCTGTGACTGGAGCCCTTTGATATATGCCATACATACATACCTTTTATAACTGCCTTTTTTTCTTCTTCCTTCAAGGCCCTTGTACTTTGGGATCTTGTGGTTGAAGGGCAACGGAGGAGTAGAAAATGCCCACCTCTCTATACCTTCCATGTGGAATACAAGGCACATATATGGCACTGGAACTGCTAAAGAGAAAAATTATTTGTGCTCAAGCATTTGATGGGTTTGTGTAGAAGAGAGATATGAACAACACATATTGGTGAACTCCACTTACAGGTAAATTATACATCTCTGTATTTACTATTTCACATGTTAGAGAAACTTCAGTGATAAATACAGGAGGGAAAAGTGTGCACAAACAGAAAGACAGTACTTACCAAAAATAGGATAGCACTGAACGATGCACACCTAAGAAAAAGTGTCCATTTGGCACTGATGAACCTTGCAACATTTCTATAGTGAAGAAGAGTTTTATCTTCATCTCCCACTGTACAAAGTGAAATACTGAAAGATTAAATGACATGTTAATCTAAGAAGTTCGTAGTTCATTCAGGAATAGATGCTATGGAACATCTGCCATGAACACACGTACCACAAAGATCTGTCCTTAAAACATGCAAACTCAAACACCAAAGGTGAGACCCTTGTTTGCTGTTGACAGCATCACTCCCCATTACCTTCAAGGTAGCACTTTGTAGCAGCTGGTCATCAGACTGCTTTTCTTCATGTCCTCCATTTGAGGGAATAAAGACTTGGCGGTGTGGATGTCAATTGGTTGCCTGAACTTGATTGTTTTTACAAGCTGTATGTAATACAGTGGTATGGACTTCTGGATAAGGCATTTTATTAGTAGGAAGGGTTAGATTGTTTACGAACATGGAAAAGACATGTAGGGCTTTTAATCTTGAGGTCATTGGTTTGAGCTTGGTCCAGCCTGATAAGAAACCAAAAACATTAAGTCTGTATGTTCTCATGCAACTCTTCCAAACAAGCATTTCCTTAAGTATTAGCTGCTGTTTTTCCTTCTTTTTCCTGCTTTCCTTTCTGAGTTCAGACTTGCACACACTGCCTGGTATGTTGATCTGCTTCTGCTTTTAGCAGAAATGTATCAGAATTTTTTATGGTATTTTTCTTCCATAGAGAGAATGTTTCTGCTTCCCACATGCATACTGTGTGTGAATAATACTTTATTTAACAGGTACCCACATGATTTCACTGACACTTAAAATAGAGTCTCAGCTAGATATTGTTCAATGTGAACAGCCTTTTGTCCAGGCTATACGTCCTGGATTCATTTCACCTAGATTCAGGCATCTAGTGAAATCATATAGTTTACAGGTAGGTTTTTCTAACTCTATAATCCTGAGAGAAAGAAAAGCACCAGCAGACCATGATTCTCATCTTGGCTAGTCTGCCTGAGGTTCTTGGGTGTACTCCCTTCTCTGCAATAAAAAGGCATTTGTGCAATTTTTCTTCACACATTTTTGGGAAGGATTTAACATGGGATTAAGCTAAACTACAGAAAGGCGCTCTCAGTGTCAAACTAGCATGTTCACATAGGGATTTGGGTTTTATTCAGTTGGATTTAGATTGAGTTTTGATTACAAGGTTCAAGAGAGAAATTAAGAATATCTCCAATCCACATCTGAGCGCCCTTGAAAATATCTAGTCATAATAGATACTTGCAGTTCCCTCAGCATCACAAACACAGAATCCTACGCATCTTCAGAAGTTGTCCCACTCTGCACAGGTGGAAACCTGAACCGTAGCAATTACCTCAGTTCAGGGTCAATCTATTTATAGAGATCAGACTGGTTAACACACATGGAGAGCATTAGTTTCAATTCACACAAAGAAAAAGTGGTGATTCTGCCTCTGCCTAAAGACTTCTTAGGCTGAAGAGGTCCTTGGGTTTGGGTCTTCCATTCATGACACGTGTTATTACTACCAGCTTCTTGGACTTTAGGAAGCTTCCTCTCCTTTGTCTGTGCACCCTTCTGTTAGATACAAGTATATGGATGAACCAGTGCTGAGGGTTTCACATTAGCAACATATTCCTCAGAGTCTCAGACTGTCTAATACCCCTCTATGGCGAAAGATGCTTCAGAAATGACTGTCTTCATCTCTTGTTAGTATGTGCATGTCCTATTGGGGGACAAGATCTGGACAAGATACTTTATTTTTGACATCTGTTGTATTATGAATGTTCCTTTTGGTTCACAGTACCAATTGTATAAGGACATTTCACAGTTACTGTGACAATAACTGTGCCATCAGCAAGCTGTACACTCCTTGTTTCTGAAAGAAATACCTCACACAGCCCCCGGCTTAGAAGAACTCTTTTCCTAGCTGGTGAATGACAGCTGGACCTTCTTCCACCACCACTTACTACTGCTTTGCTGAGTGTCCTGCTTAACTCTCAACCTGTTTTTCCTAGCTAAAACCCAAAAAAATCAGTACTTGGGGTGACCAGTCACACAAACTGCTTTGAATCCTAATCCGAGAAAGGTATTTGAAGAGCAGGTTGTCAACAGTATCTAGGCCTTCGCTTCCATTTGGCTTCACTGTCAGGAAGTAGCACAGAAACAGTGCTGATCTCTTAGTCCATCTTCTGTCTTCATGCTGCTCAGTTGCTCTGAAGCAGCTGAGTATATTTGAACTACTATTTTCCTATGACCAAGTGAAGGCTTTATACTCAGTAAAAATACCCATAGCATTTAGTTGGCTTCCTTTTGCCGTTTTGGCAGCTGTGTGGAGGGGAAACAGAATGGGAAAGAGAATATGTCCCTTAGTGTTCAGACATTCAAGTGAATGGAGTGTGTGTTACTTGCAACTGTTATCAACAATAGGGCACTGTGGATGTTACCGGAGTGTGTGATATTTTCCAAGAGAATTGAAAATTACATTTTATTTTCAGCAGCAGCAGTACATCATTTGACTTGCTTGTACTTTCCCACATAGTAAATATTGCTGATACAAAGCTGTAATTTTTTCAAACTGAGATTGCTGCCGAGACCTGGCATACGCCTGCAAAGTTTTACGATCAGACAGACCTCAGGCTGGACAACTACAGTTGGAAGTGGGAACAGTTGAGGAGAGGAGACTTTTTAGGATCTGATTTTGTTACTGAAGAAAATGGAACATGTAATTGGCTCTGTAAGAGAAACATAGGTTAGATCCCATTTCCTGAATAAGTGGCATTTAAAGCAGGGTTAACTTTAAGTGTCAGCTTTCAAAACCTTTCAAAACATCTTAGGCTACGGGCTCTTGACTTTCAAGAGGTCACAGGGGAGTTTAGTACAATAGCATGAATAGCACTGGCTTCCATATTGCAAATTCCCTTTTTTATGTATGTGTCTCTTTGGTTTTCATCACCCTTTTATAAATTCTGGACCAACGGAAATTTTCACAGAATGCTAAATGACTCATTGGGCCATAATGGAAAAATCTACAGCTTCCTGCCCTGAGCAGAAAGCAGCAATACTAGATAGCTGCCCATGATTCATGCTGGGCCTGATCCCAAATTCATCAGAAGTATTACTAGAGTTGTAAAAAGTGGCAAGTCATTGTGGGTGTGTGGACCCTGCCAAAGGCAGAATTGAGGACCCTGAGCCTCGCCAAGTGTGAGTCAGCCTAACTTCACTGTTATCACTAGACAAAGCTGTTTTACACCAACTGACAGCCTAATCCCACCTATCAAATCAGAGACACAAATGCAACAGGGTTAGAAGCAATCGCTGTAAGTTACTGCTTTGCATAGCACAGTTGGTGGGCTCAGAAATGGATGTACATAGGTATAGTAGAAAGAATTAGGCAGCAGAGACAAAAAGTGAAAGTATCCACTAGCAAAACAAGGATAATACTAAATTATCAAGATAGTATATGTGGGTATTACTGAGCTTTGCTTTCATTTGTTTAACAGCACTTTCATTTATGAACGTACTGTTTGGTATGCAGGAATATTTACTGTCTACTTACCTCAGCTGGTTCTTTGCAGAGAGAGATTGCTCTGTCTGCCTTTTTTAATTCATTTTCTATTTAGTATGGAAACAGTCACCCTGCATCTGGGTTAATCCATCTTCTGGTTGGACATGATGAAGATTTGAATGAACTGAAAAAAAGACAAATTGCAGCAGGCATGTAACAAGCCCCTCTTCTTTCTGTTAAACCTCTGCTAATAACGTGTGAAGGAAAAACAACAAAGAGCTTCTGTCCTCTTTATAAAGGACCCTTAAGGGCAGAGGCAGCCTGTAAGAAACTATTCTTTTGCTAATACTGGCTGAATTACTGAGAAAGCTCAGTGTTAAAAATCCACTACAAGGATCTTGTGCATGGAAAGGAAGTATTTCCTTGGATGACTTTCTAATGACTGTCAAATATTTGCAGCCAGCAGACAAAAGGAAGCATTGTGATGACAACACACAAGCAACCTAGTGCTAGTGCTGTGGTTGCATCTGCCAGCAGGGTAATTGTGGTGAGATGCAGGCGCTTGAGTGGTCCCACAAACAAGTTAAAAATTGATTCATGATTTTGAATTTTAGTTATTTCACTCTTCCTACTTCTTTTCTTTCTTCTTTTAGGGTAGCTTGACTGATAGTGATTTTACTATAAAGGCTTTAGAGCCTTCCAACTGTGTGCAACTGTTTTTCCTGACAATATAAAAGTCTTTTTCATATCAGTGAAGTTGTTCATTTTTTCAAGATCTTAGGTTTCTATGTCATCATAATTCTTTTCTAAGCTCAGACAATACCCATTAGTATCAGTGTATCATCTGTAAAACTTAGTGGCTTTAACAATAATCCTGCTCCAACACAGCTATGCATTTTCTAAGTGACTCAAAGGTTTTTGTCACCTCCTGCACAGTTTTACATGTACTCCAGTGTCTAGTTTACAAATGGCAATTTAGTTCTAGGCACACATTCTTTGTGCTTTCAGAACAATCCACAAAAAAAAGCTGATCTCTCTCTATTCAATTTTATCTTCAATATTTTGTTTTTCTCAACTATGAGGCAGAGAAAAGAAGAAAGTTAAAGAATTCTTAGTCTGGTGATTGCATTTTACAGTATAACATAGGTACCTAATCACATAATCTAGGATTGAAGTCTCATAATAATAATTTGATATAGCAATCATCTCTTAGAAATAACATGGGAACTGTTAACAAATAAATAGTAAAGAGAAAAGATCATTTATACAGCTCGTTACAAGTTAGACTCAAACAGGTGGTATACATTTTTTTTTCAGCACTGTGATAGTAATAGGGGGACTGATATTTTGGGGTGGCACTTCTACATCAACAAATGACTTAGCAAAGAGGCAGTATTAAAGTGTGTGAAAGTATAGGGGAGGAATAAGAGCATATTTGCTAGTGGAGTTTGCCAAGCTGTATCCCAAAAATACCTTTTACTGGATTATATGTATATTAAGATTTCTTTGTTGTTTGTTTTCCTTGATAGGATTACATCAGTAAGGTTCTGTAGGTAAAATTTTAAGTATAGATCTGGTCTATGGTACAAAGCTTTTCTGACAGGATTATGTGTCAGCTGAGCTTGGAAAAAAAATCACACACCCTAAACTCATATATCTATGCACACACAATGCATCTCTAATGACAGAAAAGTGCTTTTGCTGACTTAGCTAAAGTCATTAAAGTAGGTGTGGTAGATATAGTGGTGGAAAAATTCCCGTACTAGCATGCTTTGCTAAAACAGCTTTGCCAGCAGAGCAAACTGGCAGAATCTCTGTAGGCGAGACAAACAGGTTTATAATACAGCTAATTATGAAGCATTTGCTCTAGGGAAAGTGAATATAGACTATATTACTATTCGAGGAAATGTATCTTGAAAAACAACATCCCTAAAAGCATGACAGGTTTTAGCGGTACACCAAATTGTATATGAACTCCTCCCATACTGCTGTGATTAAAAGGACTAATGGAGGAATGACAAAGTTCAGCTGGAGCTGGGTTAATATGTTTAATAGTGAAGGTGGGTAATCATAACAATAGCCTAACAAAGAATGTGGTGATATTTCCATAATTCAGAGAATGTATATAAGAGCAGTTGTTTTTATCTAAAATATATTTTCTTATCTAACCAAAAATTATGTTCTCCTTATGCAAGTCAAACCAGCAGTTTACGCTAGTTGCTTCTAGCCTTAAAAATGTAGTTGAGCACTGGCACAGTACAGGTAAACTGCCTACTTTTCAAGTAAGACAATTTTCAGAAAATCCAGAAAGGAGTAGGATACAGCTACCTTAACTTTAGGTCACTAAAAGTTAGACTTCTGAGTTATCCATTCAAGCTTCCCACTTAAATCAATGGCAAGAAATAAGCACCAGAAGAGGGCAATTCAACTCAGCTGAAGATATACATCTAAGACAGCTCAAATGAATTGCTCTCTGGAGGGGAATCTTCTTTTACCATGAAGGGAACCTGAAGAATTAGCTCAGATTTAGGCTTCCAAGTTTTAGGCATGTTCATTAAGGCAGATAAATCCCTTCAGGGGTGTAAATATGGCAGAGTAAAGGGCTTCAAACTTTTATATCTAAAATATTTACTTGGCTTTATCTTTTGTTAAAGGATGCAAGACCTTATGGTCTCATCAGAGAGGAAGTTACACAGAAGTATTTTTTTGGTAGTAGGTTACACCGATGACTACCATTCAGTTTCCATTGCAGTGGTATCTACATTGCAAACCCACATTCATAATTTTCTCTCTCAGTAGCACAGACACTGGGGATTAAAGGTTTGATTTAAATCCCATTAAAATGGGAGAGACTTCCATTGACTTTAACAGGATTTGAATTGAGCGCAGAGGAGGCTGAATGCTGAACTGCTGTCAGCATTGAGGTACAGGGGGTACTAAAACCAAACCAATAATGCTTCTGTTAAATGTTAAGTACCCATTCTTCAGAGAGAAGACTTGCCAAACTGGTCATTAAGTCTCATTCAATATGACTAAAGTAACTCATGGAGCAATAAACAAGACTATTAATAATATTGCTAGTTTTCTGCATGTCTGCAAATCTTTGTTACATTCCAGTAAGGCAGGTTAGTGTTTAAGACACGGAGTGTTGTGTTTAATGGGTACTGTTAACAACTTACTTATTTTGCAAACTACTTTTTGCCATCTAATGCTGTTAAGGAATGCCCCTCTTCTATTGATTTGTCCTTTGATCAGTTTGTAGGCCAACAGAAATGTATTGGGCTGTGTAAAGGCTGCCAGTTGTGCCTAAGTGCATCTTTTGTGGACTGCCCTGAAGGTCTGCTCTCATGGCATAGCTTTTAAGCCTCTTGTTATGTATGTCTGGTGCTTGGTTTCTTAGGGCTGCTGTGTTTTGGAGGCCTGCTCACCTACTGAATATTGTATGTGTTCTAGTCCCAGGCTTCCAGGGAGCACTGGACTCTTCCTATTCCTGCTATCCAATTCCATTAATGTGAATATAAGCACAAAGCATGCTGCATTTGGGACACTTTCTTTCACTGGGCACCTCCTGTACAGTTGGTCCGTATGCATGCTGCAATCATATCTGCATTATGTAGACAGGAGATCAGGAGATCATTCAGAACTTCCACATTGAACCTTGGACAAATATTCAAAATCCTCCTAAATCCTAAAGGTTAAGTTCCTAGGTAGAAAATGAAGCTTTGAGGAAGAAATGTGGCCAGTGACAACTATATGCATTTTTAGAAAGTCCAAAAAACAGTAAAAATCCAGCATATTTCAGTGCTTGCCTGGACCAGTTGTGTGTAAGGTATAGTCTGAGAATTAAATGGTCTTCTGTCTTGGAGTAGGAAGGCTGGCGGACTGCTCTGTGACGTTATTGAGAAACCAGATGCCAATATAGATAACGCATTGCTGGCTTTACTAATGTGGTGATAAGCGTGTAGTTTCTCCCGGATGCAGTGGCTAGGTTTTCCCAGAGCTTTTCTATGATGTTCTGGAAGAATATGCTCTCCCTGTACAGCATATTCTGTGTACTGTTACTGTACAATCTATATGCATTGACTACATTTGGCATTTGGCACTGAAAATACTGAGTATGTTAGAGAGTCAGGCTAAGTAAATTATTCTAATTTGAAAAAAACAAAAGAATCAACATCCCGAGAGGACATAAAGCTCTCCTCAATACTTGTTAAAACAATAAACAATAAGTGTACTTAAAGAAATAGAACCCCACAAGTGCAATTACTGGTTTAAAATATAAGACGTGCTTTCTTGTTTATCTTGATATCCAACTGGAAGAAGAGAATATACAGTACTAGGAATTAAATTAAATTTAAAAGTTTTTGTAGAAGACTAAGATAGTAAAAATCTCAAACAAATTTTAGAAAATCTAATGATAGGAGAATAAGTAGACGTAAGTACAAAGACAGAAAGGCTAGAGTTGCAAGGCAGTCTTCCATGTGATATTCAGATAGACCTAGACTTATTTACAACTTGTTTGAAAAAAGTAAAAGATTTTGTCCATCAGCAATCTTGGATTTGTGGAGCTCTGTGCCAATGTACACATTGTTGTGTCTTTGCTGTCTATGCCATACTAAAAATCTGAATTTAAGGCTAATTCCTAGCCTGTCTCACAAATTGTGGCTTAGTGAATTTCTGCTCTTATGCAAGTATAATAAGAAATACAAATGGTAATCCAAAACAATTTGCTGAGTTAAGTACTTCTGACAACTGATTTACAATGACCTTAGCCTTCATCTTCTAGAGTCTTGAATAGATATTATTTAGTCACAGAAAGCAAAAATGATAACTTCTTTCTTTTATAATGTGTTGATGAATTATTCTCTTTGCAGTGAAGAAAGCTAGATTTCACTGTTTTTTTCTTTACATTCGTGGCTTTGCGTAATTTAGTAAGAAGAGGAAATCATGAATGCACTCAGTGGTCATGCTAGCTGATGACTGCTTCATGTGAAGTGGAGAAAAAAAAGCAGGAATGAGAATTCCTTTTGTAAGTGAGTGCCCTGATTGCTAGAAAAGAGGAATCAATTTTCTACTTGTTCTCCGGACTTGGCTGTAGTTTTAATTTTTGTATAGAGGCACAAATGAACAGCGGGGATGGATAGTCTTTGCTTCCTGACAGCAGCAGCCTGCAGTCTGATGTCT